AGTGGCGCTGTGGCTCAAGTGGTAGAGCGCTAGCCTTGAGCTGAAGAGCTGAGGGACAGTGCCCAGGCCCAGAGTTCAGGCCCCACGACTGGACCCAAAAAAAAAAAAAAGCAGCTCAGTTCATCTGGAAAAGGGCACAAGATGGATGTAAAAAACAATTCCACAAGTACCGAAAAGGCACCTGCCAGAACTGGGGGGCCCTGATACATAAGAAGAAGGACTGCTTTGAGAAACCTAGGCAAGTTTACTAGTATTAACATAGCCCCAGACAAACATGTCTAGCCTCAGCTGATGTTTGACTATGACAGGAAAAGAGGTCACTGGAATGACCACAATCCAGAGGAACACATGAAAATTGTGGGAGAACATGTCAAAGTTGACCTGGCAAAATGAATGTTGAAAGCCCAAAAACTACATAAAGAATTCACTTCAGGAAAATTAGTGGAGGCTAGGAATGTGGCTCAGTGGTAGAGAGCTTGCCTAGCATGCATGAAGCTATGGGTTCAATTCCTCAGTATCATATAAACAGAAAAGGCCAGAAGTAGCACTGTGGCTCAAGTGGTAGAGTGCTAACCTCGAGCAAAAGAAGCTCAGAAACAGTGACCATGCTCTGAGTGCAAGCCCCAGGACTGGCAAAAAAAAAAAAAAAGTGGACAAGCTTATTCTCCAAAATAGCAGTGGGAACCAAATCCTCAGATGGAAAAATATCACAACAGTGAAGATGAGGATGAAGATAAATAAGCAGACAATACCCACATGCCTGGGCAGAATTTTGACTTTAAGAGACATGTTATAGTCTGGAACCTGAAGAAAGATATTGCAAAATATTTGAGAAATTTAGATCCAAATTTTGCCTACTATAATCAAAAAACTAGAACGATAAGAGAAAATCCTTACACCAATGCAGGGAAGAATCCAGATGAAGTGAGTTACGCAGGAAATAACCTCATCAGATACATAGAAGATACCATTTCAATGGCTCAGACATTTCAATGGCTCAGTTGTTTGCCTGGGAGGCCTATGACAAGGACTCAGAAGTGCATCTGCAGGCAGATCCTACAAAACTAGAACTGTTATATAAGTCCTTCAAAGTAAAAACAGACGACTTCAAAGAACAGCAGAAACAAAGAATCCTGGAAACATATGGTGGCCAAGAGCACCTAGATGTTCCTTCAGCTGAGTTGCTCTTAGCCCAGACGGAACAATACATAGAGTACTGGAGGCACAGGGCTGTCATCTAGGGGCAGGAGCTGGCGGTGGCCTGCTTCAAGTATGAGGAGGATGTGAAGATTCACAACCACACACACACACATCTAGGGAATCTTATTGGAAAGAAGGCTAATAAAAGCCGGGTGCTGGTGGCTCACGCCTGTAATCCTAGCTACTCAGGAGGCTGAGATCTGAGGATGGCGGTTCAAAGCCAGCCCGGGCAGAAGAGACCGTGAGACTCCTATCTCCAATAAACCACCAGAAAACCGGAAGTGGCGCTGTAGCTCAAGTGGTAGAGCGCTCGCCTTGAGCTGAAGAGCTGAAGGACAGCGCCCAGGCCCAGAGTTCAAGCCCCACGACCGACAAAAAAAAAAGGCTAATAGGGATACAAATGCTGTCACTTTTTTCAAGTATTCTGATTACACTGGATAAGCTGGAAAGGAGACTGCTAACTCCAAGTAGTGTGTGTGATAAGTGATAAGACTGGAGGAGAAGAATCGGTAAAGAAACCACAGACACTTGTGGAGACACACGAAGAAAAACTAAAGAGGGGCTGGCTGGGAAGGTGGCTCAGTGGTAGAGTGCTTGCCTTGCATGCTTGAGGCCCTGGGTTCGATTCCTCAGCTACCACATAAGCAAAAAGAAAAAAAGCTGGAAGTGGCGCTGTGGCTCAGGTGGTAGAGCGCTAGCCTTGAGCTGAAGAGCTGAGGGACAGCGCCCAGGCCCAGAGTTCAGGCCCACTACCGGACCCAAAAAAAAAGAAAAACTAAAGAGAAGAAGAAGAAGAAGAAGCAGGAGCAGCAGCAGCAGCAGCAACACTGTAAGAGCAGTTCCAACAGTGATGATGAAGTGATGATGAAGAAAAAAAACATGAGAAGTTGAAAAAGGGACTGGGGCTGGCTTACTGGTAGAGTGCTTGTCTAGCATGCATGAAGCTCTGGGTTCAATTCCTCAGTATCATATAAACAGAAAGAGCCAGAAATTGGGCTAGGAAGGTAGCTCAGTGGTAGAGTGCTTGCTTTGCATGCATGAGGCCCTGGGTTCGATTCCTCAGCACCACATAAGCAAAAAGAAAAAAAAAAAACGGAAGTGGCGCTGTGGCTCAAATGGTTGAGCTGAAGAGCTGAGAGACTGCCTAGGCCCTGAGTTCAGGCCCTATGACCAGTAAAAAAAAAAAAAAAGAAGTGGGGTTGTGGCTCAAGGAGTAGAGTGCTAGGCTTGAGCAAAAGAAGCTCAGGGATAGTACCCAGGCCGACTTCAAGCCCCAGAACTGGAAAAAAAAAGAAAAAGAAAAAGGCACTGAATGCTGAGGAGACTTACCTGCTCCGTATCAAGGGTATCATGCAGATTGGTGAGAGAAAGCAGTGAAGGAGGAAATGGAGGCCTACAAAATGAAACCTCGGAGTCCAGACACCAGTAACTGGTCAGAGAAGGTCATTAAGGATACAGTCCAGCATGCTTCCGTGGCTTCCCACTGATCATCAGAGATAGAAAATACCTGATCTGTCCTTGCTGTCTGACTTTAATAAAGCTTTCAGAAGTCTCAAAGAAAAATAAATAGAGGCAATATCCTAAGGAGAGAAAATTGTTCCCTGCTGGATCAGTAGATTGAAGGTGGGGTAGGAAAGCCTATCCTAGGATAGTGTATAATAGAGTAAGTCCTTTAATACCTGTCATATGAATAAAAGAATAAATAAATGAATGTGGCTAGAGTGTTAGTGCTCTGGTGAGCTTGGCTGAGGAATTAAGTCTTGGAAGCAGGAGGATGGAGAGGTAGCTGGGAGGTAACTCCAGGAGCCATGCTATCAGAGGAAGTCTTGGTTTACTCATTCAGCCATTTATTGTTTTGAAAGTATTAGTGCCAGGCACTTGGACTTGCTTATTGCTGGATAATTACAAACTAGATGATCCCTATGAGTGAGAGCTGGCAGGCAATAAAGGAAAGCTATAGTCCATGCAGGTTCCTAGGTGACCAGTGGCAGGCCTCACTATGGATTTAGGATTCTGTCCCAAAGACATGAGGAGCCCTGGGAGATTTCCAGTGGGAGAGGGGGTAGGGCAACTTGATAGAGTGCATATTGCAGGTAGTAGCTCTAGAGCAGGAACCAGAGAGGCTGTAGAGGAAGGGAAAGGGAGCTGGGAGGCTCTGACATGCATCCTGCTGGTGTGTGTGGGGAGGCTGATAACTTGGGAGAGGACTCTGGATCCATCAGACCACCCCAGGACAGAGAGGTCAAAGAGCCCTTGACACAAATACCAGAGCTGTTCGGCTTTGTCTCACTGTTCCAGGCTGGCTTCCACAGGAGCAGGCCATGGAGCCAGAAAGTGTGTAGTCAATCACATTTCGAAGGCCACAGTGGTGTGGCTCCAGGTGGCTTGCCTAAGATGGCTTCTGGGATTCTCACCTTAGTCCTGGTGCCTAGCAAGGGTCCATGAAAGAGCCCACTGGGATACAACAAGGGGCCTCCCAGAGATCTCCTTGCTGTGTCTCCGTTTCTCAAAAATGTCATGGAGTGGTATGTGAGAAATGTATATACTATCTTTACCCTGAAACCCTTTTCCTAGTCATCTATAATGTTCAGGGAGGAACAGATGAAGATGAAAAAGGTCTTTTGGGTTTTGGAATACAAGTGGGTCACTGTGTGACTACTTGGAAGCGCCCCCCCCCTCTGCTCCTTCCCTTGTAAATAGGGAGCAAGAACAGAAAATTTAGGAAAACTGCTTTGCTTTTGTTTTTGTTTTTGTTTTTTGCCAGGCCTGGAGCTTGAACTCAGGGCCTAAGCACCATCCCTGAGCTTCCTTTTGCTCCAGGCTAGCACGCTACCACTTGAGCTACAGGGCTACTTCCAACCTGTTCTGTTTATGTGGTACTGAGGAATGGAACCCAGGGCTTTGTGCATGCTAGGCAAGCTCTCTACCACTAAGCCACATTCCCAGCCCCATAGGAAAAGTGCTTTCTAAGTAATTATCTTTATGTCTAGCATGGGATGCAAATGGGTGTTGGGGGGAGTCATACATTGCTGTGGAAGCAAATTCTACCAAGCTTTTCCTATGTGCCAGATCATATGTATATACTGACCCATTTGGTCCTCAAAATACCTCAATAAGATGACCACAATTATATACACAGGAAAACCGATGCCCAGAGAGGTGAAAGGACATGCCCAAGTTCACACAGCCACTATGTAGCTTAGTGAAGATACAAGTCCAGGTAGCCTGTCTTTTCCTCAGAGGATCTGAGAGTACAGGGCGCTGGCTCTAGAGGAGATAGTCAGGGCTGGAGGACATGGCTCAAGCAATAGAGCACCTGTGTAGCAGGTGGAGGCTCTTAGTTCAAACCCAGTACTCGCCTCCCCCCTCCCCCGCCCCCCTCCGCTCAAAGAAAAGCATATAAGGAGCTACTCAAAAGGCTGAGATCTGAAGATTGCAGTTTGGAACCAGCCTGGACAGACAAATCCAGGAAACTTTTTTCACCACTTAACTACCAAAAAACCAGAAATGGAGGTGTGGCTCAAGTGGTAGAGTGCCAGCTGTGAAAAAGACAACTGAGAATCTAGAGTTCAAGCCCTAGTACAGCACACGCGCGCGCGCGCGCACACACACACACACACACACACGGAGAAACACATGAAAGCTTTGACATATGTATGTGTATGTGTGAGGGGGGCGTATACTTCAACCTGGAAGAGATTCTCGTTTTTTGTATAGGTGGTTGGAGCTGGGGTACTAAGCTCTCTAGCAAGCAGTGAAGTTCAAGGGCACTGAGCAAGCAGCAGAAGTTCAAGGGCACTGAACTTGTGAAGAGCCACCCCTCCCCCCATTTCCCATCAGGTAGGTAGAGGACTCTGCCCAGGTGGGTATGGCTTAGATAAGATTGACCACCTGCTTGGTCTTGACCATTAGCCCCCTTCTCACTGCTTGCAGCTGCTCTTCTACCCCCAACTTCACCACCTGCACCCCCACGGAGTTGCACCAGGAAAACTCAGAAGCCTGCTCCATTTGCCATGCACCTGGCTGCTACCCGTGTCCCTGGTGTTCTGGCTTCTCATCCCACAGGCCTTGCTAGCTTCATCTTGCTAAATTAACACACAATCCTCATCTTCCAAAAGACTGAGGCCGACCTTCAGTCATATGCTTGGGGAAAGTGAGTCCCAGCCTGGAGATAGGCAGATTCCGCGGCTTAAATATTTCACGATTTCACTTCACCCTCGCGTTCACCTGATGAGATGGGTACTTGAGATTATACCCTATCTTACAGACCAGAACAGCAGAGAGCTGCCAGCCAGAAGTGACTGAGCCTCTATAAATCAAAACGAAGGACGTGAGTGAAAAGGACTGACGTTCCCAGGTGGGAGAAACAGCCAGGGTAAAAGGTCAAGAGGAGGAGCCCGGGTATGTTTGTCGACCTGGCAGTGGCCGGGGTGAGGCCACCGCGACTCGGTGAGCACGGAGAGTGGCAGAGCGAACGAGGGCACTGAGCGCCAAGTACAGCTGCTGGACTTTACCCTGGGAAATTCCGAGCAGAAGCCTCTGTCGGCTGGAGCCGTGCAGCGCCTCCCAGCAGGGCCGCGTCTTTGTTCTCGTTCCGCCCTCTGCTTCTAAACTTTAGAACCATCTCTAGTAAACATCCACAGAGTGGTAAACTCGCTCCGTGAAGAGCTTTTTGAGTCATTTCTCCCCGCCCCCGGCACCCCGGGGAAGCGGAGAGCCCCGCCCCAGTGCACGTGCCCGCGACTGTGACCGCGCACGCGCACGCCGCCCCAGGGACGTGACTCGTGGAACGTCCGCTTCGGGCATCCGCGGCGGCGGGGAGTGCGAGGTGCCTTGACGACGTGCGGCTAGATTGCGCGGCCGTCATCGTCAGGTTTAGAGCTGGTGCCCGAGGCTCTCGATCCTATGTTTGAGAAGTTTCCACAGTTTCCAGGAGTTTCCATAGGCATCCTAAGGGCTTTCCTCTGGCGGCGGCGCCACTCAGGCATTTGTTTAACCACCCATTCGCCCTTCAGGGGTCCTCGCCGTCCGCCCCACAGCTAATTAAATGACGGACGCAGTAGCCAAGGAAACTACATGATTGACAGCCATGATTACCAACCAAGTTACGGAAACTCCAGTCTGGGCTCGACCGGCGCGTGGCCGGCAGTCCAATTAAAAAAGTGGAAGCACCAAAGGGGGCGGTAACGGGACGGCCTAGGTTGTGGCGGTTCCCCGGTGATTGCGCGCTGGGGGCTGAAGCGTCTACGGTTTTCGGACGAGGCCATGACGGGGCTTAGCAACACCGTTGACAGCGTGATCGCACCCCAGCAGAGGGAGCCCTTCGGTCTCAGACGCGGCGCGGCGTAGGAGGCAGGTCGCTGTTTGAGAGAGCTCCCTCGAAACCCTTCAGCGGGTGGGGGGAGGGGCGGCAGTCGACGCGCGAACCCCGTGTGCGCTTGCGCCGGCACCTCTGCCGACCCAGTCCACACGCTCGCGCATGCCCATAGCGCTCGGAGCCGCGGTGGCCGTCAGTACTGCGCGTGCGCGCCTAAAAGCCCGCTGAGGAGCGGCGCTGGCGGACGTCGGGCGGGCGGGCGGCCCGTGACGTCGTGAGGAGCGCTTTAAAGTGCGGGCCGGGCGTCTGAGGGTCTGACTAGGAGTCGGGTCGTACCTCTGCCGCCACCCTCCGCGGTATGAGGCGCGGTCGGCGCCCCTGCCACCGGGGACGTGGAGAAGGTGGAGGAGGAGGAAGTCCCGTTGTCTGTACCGTTGCATGACCCGCCGCCGCTGAGGCCCGACCCCTCGAAACCTCCCTCCGGATTCTCGGGCTACGCATGGGGGCCCGGCACTGAGGACCCCCTTCCCTCTGGGGGCTCCGGGCCCGTCTCCCAAGAGCCATGCCCGCCCGCCCTGGAGGACCCTAGAGCAACGTCGCGGGGGCCATGGCGGCAGCCAGCGGCTACACGGACCTGCGTGAGAAGCTCAAGTCCATGACGTCCCGGGACAACTACAAAGCCGGTAGTCGGGAGGCCGCGGCAGCCGCCGCCGCCGCTGTGGCCGCCGCCGCCGCCGCCGCTGCCGCCGCCGAGCCCTACCCGGTGTCCGGGACCAAGCGCAAGTACCAGGATGATTCGGACCCGGAGCGCAGCGACTACGAGGAGCAGCAGCTGCAGAAGGAGGAGGAGGCGCGCAAGGTGAAGAGCGGCATCCGCCAGATGCGCCTCTTCAGCCAGGACGAGTGCGCCAAGATCGAGGCCCGCATCGACGAAGTGGTGTCCCGCGCCGAGAAGGGCCTGTACAACGAGCACACGGTGGACCGGGCCCCGCTGCGCAACAAGTACTTCTTCGGTGAGGGTTACACGTACGGCGCCCAGCTGCAGAAGCGCGGACCGGGCCAGGAACGCCTCTACCCGCCCGGCGACGTGGACGAGATTCCCGAGTGGGTGCACCAGCTGGTGATCCAGAAACTGGTGGAGCACCGCGTCATCCCCGAGGGCTTTGTCAACAGCGCCGTCATCAACGACTACCAGCCCGGCGGCTGCATCGTATCTCACGTGGACCCCATCCACATCTTCGAGCGCCCCATCGTTTCTGTGTCCTTCTTTAGCGACTCCGCGCTGTGCTTCGGATGCAAGTTCCAGTTCAAGCCAATCCGGGTATCCGAACCCGTGCTTTCCCTGCCGGTGCGCAGGGGGAGCGTGACTGTGCTCAGGTAACCTACCTGGGAGAAAGGGGAGGCTCTCACCCTGCTGCCTTAACTGTACTCCCGGGCCAGGAGATGGTGGCCAATAATTGGAGCCTAGGCTTTTTTCTTTTCTTTTTAGTCGTACTGATCCATACTTATATTTGTTAGTTGGGGGGAGCAGGGGAAGGGGCATGAGTTTAAAACAGTATAGTGAGTATCAGGGAATTCTGAAGTGAAATTTGAGCCGGGCACTGGTGACTCACGCCTGTAATTCTGGCTACTCAGAAGGCTGAGATCTGAGGATCACGGTTCAAAGTCAGCCCGGGCAAGTAAGTCCCCGAGACTCTTATCTGCAATTTACCACCACAAAGCCGGAAGTGGAGCTGTGGCTCAAAGTGGTAGAGGGCTAGCCTTAAGCAAAAAAGCTCAGGGATAGTGCCCAGACCCTGAGTTCAAGCCCCAGGACCGACCAAAAAAAAAAAAGTTTGAGATTGTTACAGACTTATTCTAAAAGCATTTTTCCAGAGGACTAAGATGTAAAGAGTCATTCTTGTGGTTCTTGGCCTCCATTTCCAAGTCCACACTGAAAAGAAAACAAAAGGAAAAAAGTTGAGCTTACTGTCTAAAGTCTTTCCTGTTCTGTTCTTGCTTTTCTTGATTGAATGTTCATGGGATCTTTAACAGAAAATTCAGAAGCCCCATAAGTGTTTATTTGATATGGGTTTTCCATTCTCTGAAGGGAGAGTGACTTCCCTGAAGTTGAACGATTTAGTGGTCTGGTCTGGAATAAAGTGCAGCATGTTCTTAAAATTCTCCCCTCTTAGTTGCTGGTAAGTCCTTTTTTGTTTTGTTTTGTTTGCCAGTCACTGGGCTTGAACTCAGGGCCTGGGCACTGCCCCTGAGCTTCTTTTGCTCAAGGCTAGCACTCTACCACTTTGAGCCACAGCTCCATTTCCAGCTTTTTCTATTTGTGTGGTACTGAGGAATTGAACCCAGGGCTTCATGCATGCTAGGCTAGTCAAGCACTCTACCACTGAGCCACATTCCTAGCCCCCGGCAAGTCCTTTATAAGGATGTGTTGCCTGTTGTTAAGACTCAGTAAAAACAAAATACAGCTGGTATCTTGAACTGGTGTTTGGTTTTGCAGTTCTATGAACAGCAGGTCTTATTTGGGTCCCTAAATCCTGCTGAGAGTGAGCTCAGTGCCCTCTTCCCCCCACCCCAGAGAGTATCATCTGCTGGAACTCTTGCTGTTTATATAAAATGAAAAATGCATTTGGAGACTACCTCCGTAGTTCTACCCCTGAAAAAGGTAAAGTAATCCCCAGAACCTCTTAAGAGGTCTAGACTACAGCTGTTCAGACCACCAAGTATAACATACTAGGATTTTTTTTGGGGGGGAGGGGTCCGGTTGTGGGGCCTGAACTCTGGGCCTGGGCCCTGTCCCTCAGCTCTTCAGCTCAAGGCTAGCGCTCTACCACTTGAGCCACAGCGCCACTTCTGGCTTTTTTCTTTTTGCTTATGTAGTGCTGGGGAATCGAACCCAGAGCCTCAGGCATGCAAGGCAAGCGCTCTACCACTGAGCCACATTCCCAGCCCCATATTAGGATTTTGTTAGGAGCAGCTTTACTTTTGAAGAGCCATGAGCATCTTAGGTCATAGGTTTGGGGAGAAGCAAGGTCCCACAGGCCCTCTTAATATCACCAGTGCAGGTCATCTATCTCATTTGAGTCAAACAGCTGAGACTGCTCCCATGTTGGGGGCAGCAGTAGAACCTTGGAATGTCTAGGGCCTCGTGGTGGAAAAACCTGGAAGTCAGTGGCAGAAACAGCCCTTTGACTTCCTTACACACCTGTAACCTAAAGGACAACTTACCTATCAGATACTTCCTTGTCCATCTTCTTTTTTTTTTTTTTTGTCGGTCGTGGGGCTTGAACTCTGGGCCTGGGCGCTGTCCCTCAGCTCTTCAGCTCAAGGCAAGCGCTCTACCACTTGAGCTACAGTGCCACTTCCGGTTTTCTGGTGGTTTATTGGAGATAGGAGTCTCACGGTCTCTCCTGCCCGGGCTGGCTTTGAACCGCGATCCTCAGATCTCAGCCTCCTGAGTAGCTAGGATTACAGGTGTGAGCCACCAGCGCCCGGCTTACTAGCACTTTCTTGACAACCAAAAATGTTTCCAGACATTGCCCAGTGTCCCAGGGAATGAGGGTTTCAGGGCAGTCCTTCCCAGTTCAGAACCACTGCTCTAGGGTTCTGGATTCTCTCACTACTTTTAAGTCTTCTAGCACCTGCTTACTTAGCACCTGGTTTATTTGGTATGTAGGAGGATGTGAACATTTGCATGTTAGGAGTGCACCTCATCAAATTCTGCATTTAGGAGGAATTTTTCTCACTTTCTCTTTTCTTTTTTTCTTTTTGGTAGTGTTGGTATGGACAGGAGTTCAACCCAGGGCCTCCCTGTTGCTAGGCAAGCACTCCACCATTTGATCTAGCCCCTTCTCTCACTTCTTGGTTAAGATCGCAGCCCAGCAGTTAGGAGCAGTAAAGTTGCAGGTTAGAAAGGAGCTTCCAGGCACTAATGGCTCGTGCTTGTAATCCTCCTACTCGGAGGCTGAGATCTGAGGATTAGAGTTTGAAACCAGCCTGGGCAGGAAAAGTCCATGAGACTCTTATCTCCTATAAGCTACTCAGAAAAAGCCATATGTGATGCTGTGGCTTCAGTAGTAGAACACTAGCCTTGAGCACAAAGGCTCAGGGACACTGCCCAGGGCCCCGAGTTCAAGCCCCAGGACTGGTAAGAAAAAAAGGGGGGGGCCTATGAAAACTGGTATGCTACAAATGTAGATGGAGTTTAGAATTGTTATCATCTGACTGAGTCTTCGTTTGTTAGAGGTAATAGTTTCTGTATTTGTCCAAGGCGACATGGCAGGAATACAGTTTTATATTTAATAGTGTCAGCAGGGATGTTGCTGTGTGGCAAACATTGACTCAGCAATGTCTAAACCTGGATATTTAGAACAAGAACATAGTCTCTTATGGAAGTGTTTTATATTCTTTTCCAACCTAGCTGGCAGTTTCTGTTTTGCTTTATTTTATTTTATTGTAATTTTCCCATATCAGACCTAGTTAGGCTCCCTTTTTATGCTGTTCTTTAAAGAAATAAGTATTTTTTACTTTTTTTTTTCATGTCAATTCATCTGGCATTCTTTCTTGTGTCCCTAAAAGTGAATGGAATTGGTTAAAACAGACTCCACTTTGACTAATTAGAATAACCACTTCAAGGCTAACTAATTGCTTACCTGTAATCAGAGACCATGCCTTAGCTACTGGTCCTGAAATGACTGTGTTTAATTCAGCCATGGTATATGTACTAGTGAGCTCAGCCTTTATTAATATTTGGTTCCATTAGTGTGGTTTGGGTGGAGTGGAGATCCCTGTGGATTTGGGGCTAAGAGTTGATCAGCTATTTGAAAGCAATGTCCTATTAATGTTTGACTTGGGTGGAGTGGGCATCCCTGTAGATTTGGGGCTAAGAGTTGATTGCTATTTGAAAGCAAAAGATAGCCTGCTACCTTAAAATAGTTAAATAGTATTTAGGATAGGCAAATAGGCCCTAGTCTACTCCTCTTTTATGGACTCTTCTGTCTCCATGAGAGGGAGAGGAACCATGGGATGAAGTTAGGGCTATATACTCTAGAGGTGCTCTTGGTGCTGCCAAGACAGAAGGCGCTGGGCGCCGGTGGCTCACACCTGTAATCCTAGCTACTCAGGAGGCTGAGATCTGAGGGTCGTGGTTCAAAACCAGCCCGGGTAGGTCTGTGAGACTCTTATCTCCAAAAAAAACACCAGAAAACCGGAAGTGGTGCTGTGGTTCAAGTGGTAGAGCGCTTGCCTTGAGCTGAAGAGCGCAGGGACAGTGCCCAAGCTCAGAGTTCAACCCCATGTTCAAAGCCCATGACCAACCAAAAAAAAAAGAAGGCAGCAACGGTGAGGAAGCTAACAATGGTCTCAGTTGTAGCTCAGAACCAACAGAGAATAAGTAGGCCATAAAAATTCAGGGTTGGCAGGCAGGCCTTTTTAGGGCAGTTAATGTGAAGCCATCAGAGATATAGTGCTAGCTAGCTCCCTGGAAATACAGACTTATCTTTTTTTTTTCCAAATTTTTTACTGTAATTAAGTGGTTACATAATTTCCCAAATTTCACAGTATTGTTGGATAGTGATGCTTAGTTAAAGTCACAAACACATTCTAACTTTCATGGAGCAAATTGTCTATCTTGGTCTATAACATTTATTTATTTGTTTGTTTGTTTATTTTGGGTCCGGTCGTGGGGCCTGAACTCTGGGCCTGGGCACTGTCCCCTCAGCTCTTCAGCTCAAGGTTAGCTCTCTACCACTTGAGCCACAGTGCCACTTCCAGCTTTTTTCTTTTTGCATATTTGGTGCTGAGGAATCGAACCCAGGGCCTCATGCATGCAAGGCAAGTGCTCTACCACTGAGCCACCTTCCCAGCCCAAAAGTCTATGAGATTTTTTTTTTTTTTTCTTGTCAGTCATGAGGCCTGAACTCTAGGCCTGGGCACTGTCCCTCAGCTCTTCAGCTCAAGGCAAGTTCTCTACCACTTGAGCCACAGCACCATTTCCGGCTTTTTCTGTTTATGTAGTGCTGAGAAATCAAACCCAGGGCCTCATGCATGCAAGGCAAGCACTCTACCACTGAGCTACCTCCCCAGCCCCAACATTTATGAGTTCTATGAACTTTGCAATACAGTTATTTCTTCCACATTGGGTGATATGTACATTTCTTTTGTTTTGCATAGTGTCAGCTGTTCCCTCTTTCCCACTTATTCCCTCCCTCCCATCACTGCCATTGAGTTGCTTAGTTCATTTTGGTTAATGTCCAGTGCAGCTGATGGGTCCCGCTGTTGTATGTTTTTCCCTGATTCCCTCTAGTTCTGTGTCGTCCTCCTGGTTTCCCTTTGGTGTGCACATATATACCATATACGTGATCAGCAGCATGGGATTGTTTAGTAGTGATTCGACCAGATGAGTGGAAGTCCTTTGTTTCTTAAGTCTTGTTAATTTTGTTGTATCACCTTACATTTTGGATTTAAGATCCAGTTATCAGGGAGAACATGTGCTGTTTGTCTCTTTGCTCTTGGCTTACCTTGCTCATCATGATTTCTTCTAGCTCCATCCATTTCCCTGCAAATGCCATTATTTTGTTGTTTCCAATGGCTACATAATATTCCATTGTGTATAGATGCCACAATTTTTGGATCCATTCATCTGTGGTGTGTCATCTGGGTTTCCATATCCTGGCTATTGTGAACAGTGCTGCAATAAACGTGGAGGTGCATGTATCCTTGTATACTGGTTCCTGTTGTTCAGGATAGATGCACATAGGCTTATTTTTGCATCTTTGCAAATCTCTTCCCATGGGGCTGCTGCTTGTGTCTGTCTTTTTTTTTTTTCCCCCAGGGCTGAGGACCGAACCCAGGGCCTTGCGCGCACCGGGCGGGCGCCCTTCCGCTGGGATAAACCCCCAACCCCTGTCTGTCTTTTTATGAAGTCAGCAAGGTCCCCAAAACAGATTATATCAGAAAATGTAATTGTAGGCTTTTTTTTTTTTTTTTTGCCAGTCCTGGGGCTTGAACTTCAGGGCCTGGGCACTGTCCCTGAGCTTCTTTTGCTCAAGGCTGGCACTCTACCGCTTGAGCCACAGCTCCATTTTTGGCCTTTTCTGTTTATGTGGTATTGAGGACTCAAATTCATGCATGCTAGGCAAGCACTTTACCACTAAGCCACATTTCTACATTTTTCCAAATTCATGACCTAACATCCTCCTCCCCAGACCAAGAATTTAATGACAGAGTTGGTGGCAGTCTAGCACCTACCACTTTTAACAGTTCTTGAGCAGGTTATTTAACCTTCAAAGTCTTCAGTTTTCCTCTTCTGTAAAATGGGGCCAGTGATTCCGTAGGGTCATTATAGTAGATTGTATCTCATACAGCAGAATGTTTAGAGTCATGCTGAGGCATATCTCAGGGGATGAGCCTGCCTTCTGGATCCTGAAAGCTAAAATTTCTCATAAAGTTAAACCATATCTTTTCTTGGAGGTTTGGATCTGTAAATAGCTTGAGCCTGAGCTCACAGTCCTGGTGTATGTGTCCAGGTGGCTGGCTGCTTCCTTCCCAAAAGTCTAAGATGCTTAATCCTTTAGGCCTGTACTGATAAGTTAGGTTCAAAGAAGCTGGCATCAGGCCATGATCTTAGCCATTAGCTAGCTTAAACAGGAAATAGAGTTGGTATGGGGAATGGTGGCCGACTTGGAAATATAACCTAACAACTCACCCCTGAGATCATCTCTAGGGAAGAGATAGATGTACAATCCTACCCAGTCCCTTATATAGTTTTTCCAATTCATTTAACTTGTATCTAATCTTCTGAGGAAGGGTTTGCTGCACTGTTTTGCAGATGTAGACACTAGGGTTTCCAGTGTGGTTGAATAGTGCTTAAGACCACTGTGTGTGCACACGTGCGTGTCTATCCTAGAGCTTGAACTCAGGTAGTAGTGGCTGTGAACTTTTTTGCTCTAGGCTAGCACTCTACCACTTAAGCCACAGCTCCACATTTGCCTTTTTGGTGGTTAATTGGAGATTGGAGGCACAGGGACTTTCCTGCCTGGGCTGGTTTTGACATGCAATCCTCAGCTCTCAGCCTCCCTGAGTAGCTAGTATTACAGGCATGAGCCACTAACTTGTGGCTATTAATAGACTGTTTTTTGGGGTTTTTTTGGGGGGAGGGGTTTTGTTTTTTGCGGGGGCATGGGGGGCAGTATCAGTTGTGGGGCTTAAACTTGGGGCCTGGGCACTGTCCTTGAGCTCTTTTTGCTAAAGGATAGTGCTCTACCACTTTGAGCCATGAAGGCCACTTCCAGTTTTCTAGTGGTTAATTGGAGATAAGAGTTGTGCAGACTTGGCTGCCCGGGCTGGCTATGAACAGTGGTCCTCAGATCTCAGCTTCCTGAGTAGCTAAGATACAGGCGTGAGCCACTGGCGCCTGACATTAATAGACTTTTGATTTTTTTTTTCTCTTTTTTTTTCACTCTGTGCAGAATTGAGTGAGGCCAATGAAGAGCTTTAACAGGGAAGGCAGTTTTCATAGAGCACTGTAGTAGAGTGCTGGGAGGATGTAGTGAGATAGCAGAAAAGATAGAGGAGGCTTAAGGAAAGATTACTGGAGGAGGTATATATATTTGTCAGCTCCTTCTCTCACTAGGGTGGTCACTCTTGATGTGGATAACATATTTATCATTGCTGCTGGGGGGCAGGGAGGGGAAGGTGGCTAGGCCAAGAAAGGGTACAGGCAAGCTAGACAACACAAGGTATTTCCTTCTCTCATTTCCCTGTGAAAACAAGAGTAGGCAGCCCTGGAACTTTCCTTCATGCCAAGGGTAGGGCTGGCCCCAGGGCATATTAAGTTTCAGGTTGGCAGACTGGGACTTTCAGTGTCTCTTGTAGCAAGCAGGTTTCTTAGCAGTAAATAATACTCTTGTGGTCTCCACTGGGCACTTTCTGCTAAAGTTTGACCTGGAGAGCTTCTGTTCCCTCTCATTGGAGCTCAATACTCAGGAATGGTCAATGGGTTGTCACAGATGCCAGGAAATTCTTGAAGACCAGCACTTGTGAGCCTGCCAGCTTGGGTCAGTGCCAAGGTCATTTCTGTGGTCCTGTTCAGCTCTTACCTACACACTAGTTGTACGGCCTGGACTCAGGGCAGGAACCTGATGTAGCTCATTGTTCTGGAGCCCTTTGGAGGTTGGGGGCAGTCTTGAGCTTTGACAAACATCAGGACTTGCTTTATTTTTAATTTTATTTTTTTTTTGGTCGGTCGTGGGGCTTGAACTCTGGGCCTGGGCGCTGTCCCTGAGCTCTTCAGCTCAAGGCCAGCGCTCTACCACTTGAGCTACAGCGCCACTTCCGGTTTTCTGGTGGTTTATTAGAGATAGGAGTCTCACGGTCTCTCCTGCCCTGGCTGGCTTTGAACCGCCATCCTCAGATCTCAGCCTCCTGAGTAGCTAGGATTACAGGCATGAGCCACCAGCGCCCGGCTAGGACTTGCTTTTAGAACTGCATTAAGAGAAGTGGCTTCTTACTAGAGAAGTTAGAACCTTGGTCAGTCATATGCCTAAAGCCAAGTAAAACAGAGTGATAACACTTGTTAACAATAGGGAACATTGCCTGTGTCTGGTACTGCAGATTTGGGCCTTTGATGTGTCTTTAGACAGCTTTTTTGAGAGGCTTTTTTCACCAGGTCTCTGGCTGGGCAGGTAAACGCTGGCTGTGTGGATCTGTCCCTTTGGTGCTATGTTCCCAGTGAGAGCATGTGAAGGACTTGAGAACAAGAGTTTCAAATTAGAAGGATGCTAGCTGAGAAGAGGACAGCCTTCTTCCTACATTCATTAGCCTGTGAACAGTTTTGAAATCATGTAACTTGTTGAAAATAAATAGAAATTTGAGTGTGATAGAAATTCTTAAAATATCCCAAACACAGCTGTCTTAAAAATTCGGATTCCCCCAAAGGAGGCTTTTGAAAGCTTTTTTCCAAGTAGATAAAATTCTGTTTTGGAACTTGGCGGTCCTTGTTCTTCCTGTGACTCAGTGCCGTCAGAGACTTCCTTGGCTTCCTCTGAATACTAGGAGGAGGAAAGGGTAGAAAAATTAAACAGCTATTTGTTTCCTCACCAAGGTTTCCCCAGCACTAGTTGCCTCTAGAGCCTTTAAAGGTATACTCTCTTGAGGGCTCTTTATTGTTTTTATTTATTGTTATCTGAAACATTTTATTTTTATTTTTTGGGTCCGGTCATGGGGCCTGAACTCTGGGCCTGGGCGCTGTCCCTCAGCTCTTCAGCTCAACGCTAGCGCTCTACCACTTGAGCCATAGCGCCACTTCGGTTTTTTCTTTTTGCTTATGTGGTGCTGGGGAATCGAACCCAGGGCCTTAGGCATGCAAGGCAAGCACTCTACCACTGAGCCACCTTCCCAGCCCTGAAGCATTTTATTTTATAGTGATGGGAGATTGAACCCAGGGTTCACACATGTCTGGCAAGTGTTCTGCCACTGAGCTACACCCAGTCTTAAGGGATCTTTTTTTGTTGGCTGTGAGCTTGAACTCAGGACCTGGGCATTGTCCCTGAGTTCTTTTTGTTCAAGGCTAGTGCTCTACTACGTTGAGTCAGGAATGCCATTTCTGATTTTCTGGTGATTAATTGAGATAAGAATCTGATGGACTTTCCTGCCTGGGCTGCCTTTGAACCAAAATCCTCAGATTTCAGTCTCCAGAGTAGCTAGAATTATAAGCGTAAGCCACCAGTGCCTGGCTCCTTAAGGGATCTTTACAAGAAGAATTTCTAGCCTGTGATGGTAGAGTCCTGCTTTGGCCATAAGAGACCAGTGTGTCTCCTTTGCCTCATGCTAGGTTTTTCCTTGAGTGATTTCTGGTCAAAAGCTTCCTAAAGCTTAACGTGGTATTTCCCTTCTGTATAGATCTTGAACCTCCCACATAATAAGTAGCAGCCATAGACCTGGGTCATACTCTTGGCTCCAAGGAACTTGGTTGTCTGTTGATTCTTCTCTTTTTTTGTTTTGTTTTTGTTTTTTTTGCCAGTCCTGGGGCTTGAACTCAGGACATGGGCACTGTCCCTGACCTTCTTTTGCTCAAGGCTAGCACTCTACCATCTGAGCCACAGCATCACTTCCAGCTTTTTCTATTTACATGGTACTGAGGAATCAAACCCAGGGCTTAATGCATGCTAGGCAAGCACTCCACCACTAAGCCACATTCCCAGCCTGTGTCTGTGGATTATGGTGACATATTCTGTATTTCTTTCTAGTGGATATGCTGCTGATGAAATCACTCACTGCATTCGGCCTCAGGACATCAAGGAACGCCGAGCAGTCATCATCCTCAGGAAGTAAGTGTCCTGGTGTGACTAGTGCCTTCTGCTTCTCTGTGCCAGGGGCAGGCCAGAGTGAAATCTGGAAGACCAAAAGGGTATAAGGTGTCTTAATTTTTCTTTGCATTCTGAAAAGATAATGTCATTTTGTCTTTTCATCAGAAAGTAAGTTCTTTAGCTGATTAGAGAGTTTAGTAGTGAACAAAGGCACATGCTTCTGATATTTAAGGACACAGTCGTGTGTGTATGTGTGTGTGTGTGCACGCGCGCGCGCCAGTCCAGGGTCTTCAATTCAGGGCCTGGGTGCTGTCCCTAAGGTTTTTTACACTCTGTCATTTGAGCCAACAGCTCCATTTCCAACTCATATATACAAGAGTATATTCCTTGGGATAGATCAAAAAACTGAAATAAAATATGGATTCAACTTAGGGGGAGAGGCAGTCTTAGATTTGACTCCTAAGATGGAAACTATTGGCCAGGCAAAAATGGTAAGTTCAGATGCTGGAGACAGGAACTGGTTTAGGGACCAGTGGAGGTGAGAGTCAAAGGAGATGCATAGGCCGAAGTCTTTTTAGTTTCCGGAAGACCCCCAACTCCAGGGTTGTTATAAGACATGTTCACAGGCTAAGAAGGTGGCTTAGTGTTAGAGTGCTTGCCTAGCATGCATAAAGTCCTGGGTTCAATTACTCAGTACCACATAAACAGAAAAGGCCAGAAGTAGTGCTGTGGCTCCAGTGGTAAAGTGCTAGCTAGCCTTGAGCAAAAGAAGCTCAGGGACAGTGTCCATGCCCTGAGTTCAAGCCCTAGGATTGGCAAAGAAAAAAAAAAGATTTATATTCATGAGGTTGGTACTGTCTAATTAACCAGATATTGTGGCGCAAGACAGAGTAAATAGCCCAGTTCTTTGCTGCTGGTCAAAGGGTCTCAGCTCAGGAGTGTAAATGAAGCTGGATTAAATATTTATAGAGATATATTTGCCTAATGTTAACTGAAATTGGTGTGTTCTAGACTTTGCTACTGCCAAGAGTACCACTAACACAAGCTTGTTTCCACACTGTGCTGGTGATCAAGCCTAGAGTCTCACACATGCTAGGCAAGTGCTCTGCCATTAAGTTACATCTCCAAACCAAGTTAGCTGGCAGACATTGAATGACTTAGTAGAATGCAAGGAGGGCTCTCCAGAGACAAACACCTGAAGGTAGTAGATGGTGCCTGGGTCTCACCTGAGAACAGAAGTCCCTGTCTCCAATTAACCACCAAAAAAAGCAGAAGTGGTGATGGAGCTCAAAGTGATAGAGCACTAGCCTTAAGCAGAACAGTTCAGGGACAGTGCCCAGGCCCCAAGTTCAAGCCCCACAACCAAAAATAAATGAAAAACCTAAAACCAAGAACCAACATCTATCTTTTCCATCCTCCCCATTTTCCTTTTTCTTTCCTTTTGTGAAGTTTAGGAATAGAACCCTAGGACTTTGAGCATACTAAACAAGAGCTTCATCACTGAGCCATCTCCTCATCTCCCCTGGCTCTGAGCTTCTTATTCTTTTTTTTTTTTTCTTTTTGGTCAGTCGTGGGGCTTGAACTCTGGGCCTGGGCACTGTACCTGAGCTCTTCAGCTCAAGGTGAGTGCTCTACCACTTGAGCCACAGCACCACTTCTGATTTTCTAGTGATTTATTGGAAAGAAGAGTCTCAACAGACGTTCCTGATCAGACTGGCTTTGAACCGTGATCCTAAGATCTCATCCTCCTGAGTAGCTAGGATTATAGGCATGAGCCACCAGTGCCTGGCATGCGAGAGATTATTTTTATGGAAGCTTATTGTCTAGGAACTCTGAGGTAGTCCAAGTCCAAAACACTATCAAGTGCTAAAACACTTTATAGAGATGGAGTGAAGGATTTGATAGGATCCAAGAAGAGACTTCATTACATGTAGAGAAATCTAAAGGGTACTAGGAAGTCTGTGGGCACATAAGCAGTGAGGTGAGGGGTTCACATGTGACAAACTATAAGAGAAGCTAGTTCAATAGTTTAATAAGCATTGGAGCCAAAGTGTCCAAAGGGGTCCATAGGGAACATCCCTGCTGGGGACATTGCAAGGGTGTTAGGTTCTATCCCTCAGCAGGGTGTGGAAGAATGATCAGCTCTTGGTTTCCCTAACTAAGCATGAGGTATTGCCCCTACAGAGATCCTTCTCACACGTAAGGCATACTACTATTCCTATCTTGATGATTTATTTTTATTTTTTGTCAGTTATGGGGCTTGATCTCTGGGCCTGGGCAGAGTCCCTCAGCTCTTCAGCTCAAGGTGAGAGCTCTACCACTTGAGCCACAGCCACTTCCAGTTTTCTGGTGGTTAATAGGAGATTTTCTGCCCTGGCCAGCTTTGAACCACGATCCTCAGACCTCAGCTTCCTGAGTAGCTAGGATTACAGCTGTGAGCCCCTAGTACCTGGCTCTATCTTGATGATTTTTTTTGGGGGGGTCCGGTCGTGGGGCCTGAACTCTGGGCCTGGGCGCTGTCCCTCCGCTCTTCAGCTCAAGGCTAGCGCTCTACCACTTTAGCCACAGCGCCACTTCCGGCTTTTCTCTTTTTGCTTATGTGGTGCTGAGGAATCGAACCCAGGGCCTCTGGCATGCAAGGCAAGCACTCTACCACTGAGCCACCTTCCCAGCCCCATGGAAGACTTTATTTCATAATGTTAAAGTCTTTATAAAGTCATAGTATGGCTGGACACTTATGGCTCTTGCCTGTAATCCTACCTACTTAGGAGGCTGAGATAAGAAGATCATGGTTCCAAACTTGCTCAGGCAGGAAAGACCATGAGACTCCAATTAACCACCAGAAAACCAAACATAGAACTGTGGCTCCAACTGGTAGAGCAGAAAAGTTCAGGGATAGCACCCAGACCCTGAGTTCAAGCCCCACAACTGACATCCCCTCCACGCCCCCCCCCCAAAAAAATAGTCTTATTAGAATCTTTATAATGCTTTAGAATCTTCCAAGTTGAGCTTAATGGCTAATAGTCTTGTTTGGGCTGATTTCTGCCATCTGGACATCAACACTACAATAGGAGAGAGCTGTGGGAAATAGCTGTTAATTCACATTCTTATATCTGGGTATTGCCCAGTAGTACTGTCTTGATTCCAAGACCCTCAGAACTGAATTCTATCTTAAAGCCAGTCATATGTTCTTCCTGTAATGGGGAAATTGAGAAGGATAATGACTAGCTTGGAATCTGAAGGGCAGAACCAGTAAGAAGTCTCCTTTTACTTTTTCTTTCTTTTCTTTTTTGCTGGTACTAGGGCTTGAACTTTGGACCTGGGAGCTGTCCCTTATCTTTTTTGTTTAAGTCTAGCACTCTACCATTTGAGCCACAGCTCCACTTAAGACTTTTTGATGGTTAATTGGAGATGAGTCTTAGGAGCTTTTCTTCCTGGTCTGGCTTGGAACTGCAATCTTCAGATCAGTCTTCTGAGTAACTAGGGTTATAGGCATGAGCCACTGTCATCCAGCCTCTTCCTCCTCTTGATGATAAATCATGCTACTCTGAGCCTGCAGAAACCCAGCATGAAGGCCAAGACTGGTGGGCCAGTTCCTTCTCTTAGGCACCTTGTTTGCTGTTCCACTAATTTGGCCCTGTGGGCATCAGAACATTAGTTCCTGATTGAAAGGAAGAAAATGCTGTCCAGTCCAGTGGTTGATGTCTATAATCTTAGTTACTGGAGGCTGAGACCTGGAGAATTACTGTTCAAAGCCACCCCAGGCAGAAAAGTCTCAAGTTAACCAGCAAAATGCTGGACTGGATACATAGTTCAAGTGGTAGAGCACCAGCTGTGAGCAAGAAAGCTGAAGAAGTGTGTAAGACTGTGACTTCAAACCCTAGTACCTACACAAGAAAAAAAAGAGATGGTGATGATGCTAATACCTTCCTGAGGAGGGAGATAGCCCACCCCCATCCTGGCCCAATGGTTCTTGTTTGTCTGGCTTGAAGTTTCACCTAGACTTAAACCTTTCTCTCATGGCATCCAGAACATTGGCCTACTACCTTTCTGACCCAGTTTTCTTTTTTTTTTTTTTT